GGCCGTTAAGTGAACTGTAGTCAGCACTGTGTTGCTGACGCGCATCTTGGGCATCAGCCAAAACAGTGAACACAGCATCCGAGACTGAAGGTTGCCAGCTTGACGGCAGGGATAACAGGACAAGGACTCTGATTCCGAGAATGTTGAAGCATGGGAATAAAGATAGAGAGTTGTGTTTGTGTACAGGTGGGGTCTATCATTGTCTTCAAGCGGGCTGGAAAAACTATAGTTTTGTGCTTACAGTATGTAAATTTGTGTTGTAGTGGGGGACATTAGCGGATTGTAACATTAGTTAGTGTTGCACATTGCACATTGTTGGGGCTGTAGTGGACCTTCAGAGAGGCAAGGCACTCAGAAGCACGCATTACAGTCACATCATTTGGATTTTCCTGGAAAAAATCCTTCACATAGAAATTAGTCCACAGGCTGTTATAGGAAACCGAGAAAGTCCGGGAAGGTCGTTTGTGTTACACAAGTTGTGTTACAATCCGTTCACACATTGTCAATACAAAGCGATTAATACATGTAAATTGCTTCACATGATACCTTTAAGGGCCCTGTATGACTCACAGAATCTCACACAAACCCGGTACACATATTACAACTTAAAGGCTTTGGTCCAATGGGACATCAGAAGCCTGGCGAAAACATCCAGACAGCTGCAGGGTTGCAACACTGTATGTGTGTGTCTGTTTGTATGTGTTGCAATGTTGGGGCAGGGTGGGGGGCAGAGCAGGAAGGGTGGTGTTGGTTTGGGTAGTCACAGGACGGATGAAGAGAATTTCTGAATGCCTTTGCAGAATGATTTTCGTCATTCTATTTCTATTCCCCTTTTTTCTACCATGTACAGTCTTTTGTTGTGAAACCATTGCATGAGACCATTAAATAAACTGGCTCCCCCCCCCCTGTTTTGAGTGTGTGTTAAGAGTTCTGCAAGAAAAATCCTCAAACAATGGGAGATGTTCTTGTTTTAACCATTAAAGCATTGCTCTTACTTGCTAGGATAATTCAATGAGTTTGACCTGACTAATATGTCTTTTGCAGATTAAAGGTCCAGTGTGGAACATTTAGGAGGATCTATTAGCAGAAGTTGAAAATTATATTTGTAGGTATGTTTTCATAAGTGTATAATCACCTGAAAATAGGAATAGCCTACTTATACCTTATAATGAGCTGTTTTTATCTACAGACACTGCGGGTCGCTTTCCATGGAGTTCACCATGTTGAACCACTATGTTTTTATATGGGCCGAGAAACCAAACACTGGCTCTAGATAGGGCCTTATGCATTTTCGTTTCTCCAACACACTTTACAGCCTGGTTGTCAAATACAAATCTGAGCAGTGCTCAGTTAGTTGTACTTCTAAATCCTACACACTGGTCCTTCAAAAGAAACATCCTCCATTTCCTTTAAATTTTTCATTGCATTAAAAGTTACGGGTTTTAGACCTACGTTTTAGATTTGCAGCCAACGCAAACATTTCCTTGCACTTGTCTTCAGAGTCAGTAGGAAACATTTACTGATCATGCTCATCAGCCTCAGCTGATTTATGTCAATGCATCTATTCAGTCCTCGAGTGCTTGATTTAGCATTTATCACTGGCCTGCTTCAGCAGACACACCCAGTCTGGAGTGTCTGTTGGCTAAAGATTTCTTGAATTCTCTATTATATTCTATATCATCAGGCCAGCTAAAGGACTGTAGGATCCTTTGCTGAGATTTGTTCATAAATACAAATATATATTATATATATATTACATATTCTCTTTTTCAAAGATTCAGACTAACAAAAAACGTCTTTTTTTATGTCTGTTGACCTTATCCAGTGAGTGTCAAAGGTTTTCTTGAGCCTCTTAAGAGTTCAGAGAACTTTTTCAATGCATGGATGAGCATGTTATCCTCTATACGAAGAGAAAACATGGAAATCTACAAATTGGCATGAAAGGGTTTTCACATGATAGCAGTATTATTTTTAATAGACACAACAGACACAGCCGAATGTGATTTGAGATGGTGCCATGTTACCCTGATGTGTCTGGTGTGTATAAGACTTAAACTCTGAAGCACCCAGTGGTGAGTCTATTGCTAAAACCCAATGTTGTGTGACTGAGCATTGTTTAAACCCACATTTTAAAGGCTGTTCAAGACCCCAAAATATGCAAAGATGCCAAATATCTTGGGATGAATTTGTGGTAACAAAAGCATTAAAAACAAGTCTGTTTGGTCTAATAGTGCAGCTTTTGTGATACAGTGGGATTTTTTTTCTAATTTACAGAAACTCAAGAGTTTAAAAGGTCAAGCTGATAAAAATAGATGATTAAGAAACAAGAATGATTCTTTTTGTGCTTTTTTGTGCTTGTGTGATGGAAAGGCCGGTACAAGGTTATTTGTCACATTACAACTCGGAGGAAGAATGAATTGTGTGGTTGCCAGCAAAAATAGCTCTAATGATTAAGTCACGGAGGAAGAAATGTATTTAATAGAAAGGTTCCCGTAATGTGAACGTTTTCATTATATTTCTCAACAACATTTGTGGATGGGGGGATGTTAGAAACAGAGACTCTTTGCAAGTTCGAGGACAACATCTGTGTACCACAGGAGCCATGTGGTGCAGAGAAATATTTGTCAGGTTCCTCCCTGTGGAGACAGCCTGAAGATGGAGCCCTGCCTTGTTCTTCAGTGATTAGCTCAGTTCAAAGACATGAAGAGATTTTCTATCACATTTCTCTCTGTCGGCCTTTGGTTGTTTTTTTTTATGTCTCTGTAACATTTAGGATAAATAAAGAATCTTCTTCACATTCAGACTCTGTCAGGAACCACAGCGCATACTGTAAAGTTAAAGAAGAGCTTGTTTCCTGTCATAAAGAATGAGGAGTGTTTACAGATCAGGAAAAAGTTTATAGCAACTGTCCAAGAGTGTCGCTCTGCCAAGGCCACATAGACTACATAGCAACATGGACAACAGCATGTCCTCAGTACACACACACACACACACACACACACACACACAGGTGCAGAGCAATGCAGTATTGAGTTGGGGAGACATAACGCGTATAACCATGTGTATAATGGTGATAATGTCTGTTAATATGAGACTGTGCTAATGACAATAATGATGCACCAGGAATAGTCACCTCCCAAAATAGAGCACGGGATGGATGTCATTAAACCGACTCCACAGAAAGGTCCTTTGTTTGGTGTGTGTGCTTGTGTGTGTGTGTGTGGGTGTGTGTATGTGTATGTGTGTGTGTGTGTGTGTGTGTGTGTTTGTGGGCCCACTGGTTTAATGGCATTGCTGATGGTGATGGTGTGAAGGGTCAGGGTTACGAGATTGCTCTTGCTTTTGGTGTGTTTGGTGTCTTTGTTTGTATGTGCAAGGGCGTGTGTGTGCATGAGTGTGTCACAAGTGCTGATAAAAACAAATGTCGTGAGTTGTTTTGTATCGTTGTTGTATATTTTGTATATCAAATTATTAAAGAATTCTCTGGTTTTATCTTTCATATTATATTCATGCCATGTGGTGTGGCTAAATGGAAAATGGACTATACTTCCAACCACTCAAAGCGCTTTTACAAATACATGCTACATTCATTTCAAACAGAAACTAATTCATTCATTCACATTCATACACCAATGCACAGTACTGGGGGCAATTTAAGGTTCAGTATCTTGCTCAAGGACACTTCGACATCCAGTGGGAGGAGCCGGGGATATCCTTCTAAATAAGTGGGCGACCTCCTGTTTGACTCTGAATCTGTACGTGCAGAACAACTTGCACATATAAATTCCAGCCCATAGTGTATACATTTGTGTGACAATGAGTGTGTTTTAATGCTCTGAACATTACAGAAAATTCAAAAGTCACATAACATTAAAGATGGAAATGACAAACAAGCCAGTTACAAGTAATTGTAACAGTTTATGGCAGACGTCATCACCAGTAATGTCCTCGAATTCTCATATTCTGTTTAAAGCTGCAACAGAGGCACCATTGATCATAGTGGGAAAAACTGCATCCACACTGTTACTTAATAGAAGTTGAAAGAAAGTAGCCCTTTTCTTTCAAAAATTGCAGTGAAGAACAGCATCTCCTTTAAGTGTCAAGTGTGTGTGATGTAGTGGCATCTGGCAGTGCAGTTGCAGGTTGCAACTCACTGGTTTCAACTACAACTACAGTGGCTGCAAAACTCACAGAAAATGCTAACGGTCCAGTCTAGAGCCATTGTTTGGTTTGTCCCTTCTGGGCTTCTGTAGAAACATGTTGACCTCCACAAAAAGGTAACCTGCAGCCTCTGTAGATAAAAACAGCTCATTCTAAGGTAAAGAACACATAACGGTGTTTATGTTCAGGCGATTATACACCAATGAATACCTGAATATTATATTCAATTTCTGCCAAAAGATCCTCCTAAATGTTACACACTGGGCCTTTAAATGAAGGATATATCAACCTGAAACAAGTAATTTATTTTTTTAGGTAATCTGAGGCTAATCAGTAATGTATTAGTCACGTGTTTAACCTACTTCAGCAAAGTAACTATAGTCATAAATGTGTTGGAAAAATATATTATTAAATGAAATTCAGTGAAAATGGAAAGTTAATTGGAGCCAACAAGTACCTGAATAGGTTTTGTAAGTGTTTGAAAGGGGGCAGATGTCAGGGAGTTTGTGTATGTTGTGTTTTGAAGTGAGATCCTGCAGGCGACGGGTGGGTTGGGGTTGGTGGTGGTGATGGGAGGACCCTGGAGGCTGAACCATTCCCATGACAGCCAGTCAGCCACTGAAGCTTTACAGCACGTCAGAGAAAGACAACTCCTCTTTCATCACCACAATGTACCTGCGGTGTGTGTACGTCACCAGCCCAACAACCAGATGTATTTAATTGTTGTTAAAGAGCTGGGAAATCAGAGACCGGTGCAGCGTTGCGCATTTTCTGGAACATTTAAAAAAAAAAAAAACTTCATAAAGTTGAGTCCTGACAGTGAGGAGGGAAGGATGCTCGCGTCTGTGATGTGATTGGCTGCCTCTTCAGCCTCCCGGCGTGTCGCTATAAAACCCAGCACAGTCTCTCGGGCCGCTCCAGAGCGCACCCGGAGCCGGAGTGGAGGACCCCCCCCCTGGACGCACGGCGGGGACTCGCTGGAAAACACCGTGAACTTACACTGCTGAAAACCCACCGAAAATAATCGCAATTATCGATTAAGCATCTGACCAATCAGTGGAACTCTGCTGGAATATCGATCGGAAACCTTTGAACTTGGACCACAGCTACAACACCGCGGTTCTGGTGAGTTCAGACTGATAACGTCATCGGCCGTGATTTGATTAAATGCCCAGTTTAATTGTAAGTAAAGGAGAAGTGACCACAACCACATGACTTAAGTTAAGCTATTGAACTGGATGAAACTTTTATTGTGCGTGGAAATGTTTTCTCCTTTTCTATCTTTCCATTGTCATTTATCCAGTTGAATTAGAGGGTTTGTGAGTTTATTAACTGGTATTCTTGCGATCCATTTCACATTTTTACGAATTGCATTAGTTTTGCATGGCATGGGTCACATTTGCCGCCATTAAAAACGCATTCAGTATCTCTTTCTGGTCCTGTCGAAAGTTTTCTAGCCTATTTAAAGTGTATGTGTTGGACTGGAGGGGCCTCACCGATGCTTAAACAATACCCTGTAAAATAGAAGGACCGCTTTGTTGCAGCTCGATTGTTGCACAGTTTGCACACTTTCCCATTTCACGACCTGTAGGGTGTGTGATGGCGTCATGCAGCGCCCTGGAGGTGCCATAAAAGCTGACACATGATTATATATGGCTGCACTCAAAAACACATATTTAAATCAAAAGAATAAAAATACTTTCAGTTCACTGGCGTTTGGTCCTCTGCAGACTCGCTTTATTGGGTCTATTCACAGAGGAGACCACTAAACTCCAGGGAACTGGCAGAAAAACTATATTTCACACTTTGACAAAGGGTCAAAAATGGGGCTATAAACCTTAACAGACTAACCTTACATTTAGGTGCAGTGGAGGTCAAACTCAGCTGGATTTTTTTCATTTTAAGTCACATTGTGATGGCTGTGGATTAATGTTTGCATTTCTACTTAAGGGTACTGTTATGATCCTGGGGTGTTTCTGTTATTCCAAACTGGAAACAGGTGTGGGAGGTGTGGGGGGTGTTGTCAATACAACACCAAAAACTACAGAAATGACCACAGAGTTGAATCAGCGCCTCTGTGCAGGGAAATAATTAAATAAATATATGCCTGGAATGAATTGAGACACTGTTAGAAGGACATTTACTTTTACATTTGACTGAGGTTGGTTCAAACACTTTACATGACAACATTAATATATGCAAAGAAGTGGAGTGTATTTCTCCTGACATGTTAACCAGCCAAACTCCTACCTATCCCACGGATCCTCACTTGCAGAAACATGAAAAAATAAAATATGCACTTCCTCTGGCTGCATGGCTGCCTCTCTCGCCTCCATATTTCTCTCCACACTGCTTCAATAATACCTGGAAATAAGAAGATGCTGATATTGTGTAGCTAATATACTATTTCTGTGTACTAAGAAATTAATTTCATATCATTCATATCATATAATAGTGAGGCTTGAGGACATTATGCATATAAGACACATACACTTTAGATAAGTTGTAGTTGACGCTGGTTTATTTAATGTTAATAAGATAAAGATTTTAGGTAACATCCCTCCTTTGAAAAAATACTGAAAATATTTCAAAACCTGTCCGATACCTAATCAATATGAAACAAAAACAAACAGTATGCACGTGCCAGCCTCTGTGACACAGTTTCACCATCAACATTTTAGACTTCACATATAAGATTTGTTGCAGGAGTATATTGCATTATATTGTTTACAAATGTGTCCTGGATTATAGAAACTAAGTACATTTACTCCAGTACTTTACTTATTTTCAGTTTTGAGGTACTTGTACTTTACTTGCGTTCATTTTATGCTACTTTATAAAGCTACACCACCAGATATCAGAGACAAATATTATACCACATTTATCTGACAGGTTTAGTTCTTTTTCCAATCACAACTTTGCAATAAAAACATATAATACAGTATATTGTTAATTAAAGTTATTGTTAAGATTAAACCATTAGTTTCAAACCTTTCAGCTGAGTGAACACTTGCAAACTGTATCTGTCTTGTTTCATATGTCTGTAAGTTGTTATCAGCTTCACCAAAGAGACATTTCCCTTCCAAACTTCTCACGTGGTGAAATTACCGTTTAAATGAAACCATGTGAGAAGTTTAAAGGGGAAATTACTGAGTCCCAAAGAGGTAAAATTATCCAATATTTCTGAAATAAAGCAAAGATGTGAGATAAAGAGGCATTAAGATGAAAAGCTTTCTTCTTTCCTCTCCCATTAATCATCTCACAACCCCTCAGATTTATCTTGTGGTCCTTTGGAGGGGTTCGACCCCTATAGGAATCACTGGACGTAAAGTGGAAACAGACAACTTTTCAACTTCCCCCCAGTGTTTCCAGGTGGTATTATTGTTTGTTGCACAGACAGCAGATAGCTTTACGTTTAGAAATTATCAGCACAAGTTTGGAAATGAGAGAGATTAAAGACACATCGAAGAGATACATTGAAAATGTCATAATATTATATTGAATTTGGGAACAGACAATTAACGACAGCAGGGGTTGGTGTTGGGGTGGAGGGGAGAGTAACATACTATACATATATCAACATGTAGTGGAGAAAAAGTGAGTTTACACCGTGCAATCAACATTTACTTCATAAAGATAAATTCTCTATTTCCACTTAAAGTACCGAAAGGTATATAAAAAACTAGCTCCACCGCAAGCAGCTACTGTACAACAGTAAAGTGCTGCTTAACCACTGATGCATCAGAATTATGTTATTATTACATCAGAGTGATATTTCAATCTCAGGGGCTTTTTTACTACAGAATTAGTACTTTTAATTATACTTGTAATGGAGTCTTTTAACAGAATTGTTTTGATAACTTTACTAACAGTAAGTTAAGTTTGGTAGTTTTTCCACCATGTTATGTTTTTCATCTGATTATTAAACTTCATCAAATGATCAACCCACCTACACAATGTTAATAATAACATTAAGACGTTCAATTTTATATCTCAATCCACCCTACCTACATCCTCCTGTCACCTCTGTCTTTTATTGCCTCTCCCTTGTCATTCTCATGACTCCTTGGCTCCCCCCCCCACTTTGCCTTTCTTATGCTTTCCGTTTCCTCCTCTTGTTCTAATAAACAGTATAACAAATCAAATTGTCATTCCTCTTAATCTTGGCTTCTTTTATTGCCATTCTGTTCCTTACTTTTTATACCATTTTCTCACTTCTTTGCGCTCTTCTTTACGCCCTCTCTTCCCACACACAAACACATATTTTCTGACCACCACCGGTATCCCCTTCACTTCCACTCTGCTGGTTGCCAACTTTCCACTTCCCTGTATCTTAAGATGTGAAGCCAGCAGAGCTAAGAGTCGGATATGGTTATTAAAGTAAAATCTATTAGATTAAGAGGATCAGGCCAATTAAAACTCAACTTTCCAATTAGATCAGACAATCCTGCTCTAACATGGCCTAATGAGGTACCATGTTATACAACACAAGGGCATAATTCAGATGATAGAGAGGATAATGTATGGATGCTGGCCAAATTTTTCAAAACTGATTTCTTGTGATATGTGTGTGAGTTCATCCATGTGATTTTGTGCCTTTGTGTGTGTGAACAGAACAAGCCTCTGTGTTTTTGAGCCAGATGTAGATATGAATGCCAGTTGTGTTTGAGAGAGTGCTTGTGTGTGTGTGTGTGTGTGTGTGTGTGTGTGTGTGTGTATGCATATTGAAGGATGTGATCAAAAAGCTTAAAAAAAAGTAAACTAAGCATTTGTTCTTAACCCTTTTCTTTCTGAACCGTAGTGTCAAGGGGTTTGCACGTCAGCTCAGAGACTGAGAGATTTTTTTGTGACATCTTTGTGTATGTGTGTGTACGTGTGTGTGTGAGTGATTGTGTGCCCTGATAGCGTGTCTGCACAGATACTGTCGCCATCATCAATAAGCCCATTTATCCTGCGAGATGCCCCAGGGTATTCTAGGAGGTACACATGATTCTTGAGAGGCTCAAAGCCTCGCTAGTGTTGTCTATGAGAGAAAGAAAGTATCACACACACACACACACACACACTGGACACACAGAAGGGCTGTTCCTCATCTAACCTATAACCTCAGTTATCACTGTTTCATATGTCTCTTATGTGTCACTGCTCTCTTCTGTTCATTTCACTTTATTTTCTGTATATTATATTCTATAATACATTCATTATACAAAAAATATCAGTGTTGTAATAACATGCATTGTGTACATACATACGTGTGCCATTGCTGACAAAGAGTGGGATCAGTAAGTTGAGCTCCCTGGTGAATGGATGCTTTTGCCCTGTTTGCAATAGTTAAACAAATGTTTTCATCAACAAATTCACTTATAGGCCCCTGTGAGGCTATACTGTTGAGTTTGTTTCAGCTTATATTTGGTAAACTAACAGTGCCTCTGAGGCTGATGGGAATGTGATTAGCTTTATAGGTATTAGACAGTGGTTTCAGTGAAAATCTATACTCAGATAGGAGTACTGTTAAATTACTGGAATATTACTCAACTACAAGTAAAACTACTGGTGTTAAGAAATACTTAATATATAAATATGATCAGTTACTTTTTAACTGTTGGTGTTTAATGCATTATCAATAGTAGGCATTTAATCAAAAGGGGAGATCCATGTAGAAGATATCTACTTTCAACAAAGCGAATTTATTTGATAAATAAGCAAATATATTCAGGAATAAAGCATAGAATAAAGATAAAGCAGGAAGTCTGTATCTTAAAAGCATAATAAAAATGTTTTTCAACCTGCGTAGAACACATTTTCTCACAATGCACTGCAAACAAACAGCCAAACAAATTAGTTTTTTTCCCAAATTTACTCTAAATTAATACCAACTCCTGTGCAGTTGGTCAGTTTGGTCACCTCTGTAAACCTGTGCCGCGTTTAAATGAAGCAGGTTTTCATTAGCCTGCAATGTGTTTAGTTGCTCTGGCGTACGGAAAGAATTGCAGTTGGAAGTACCACCGCAGATCGCGAGTGCTGAAAGGAAGTACAAAACATTTCCACCTCTTGTGTGTCCCTGGTGTATTGGCTACAAAAATGCAGATGAATGGTTTGGAAATAAGTCAAATTGTTGGCCTTTAAAAGCAGCAAAGTAGATTACTTAGTGTAATGGGTAATTAAATACGAGTACAATTCCTAAAGGTACTCAAAAAACGGACTTAATTATAGAAACAAATTTTGATGTTGGCGCAAAATGAAAAAGTGGAGGGATGAATTACCGAAGTAACAAAGTGACAATTCATCCCAAGGGAGACATTTATGGCAATCCAACAGTTGTCAAGACATTTCACTCAGAAGCACAATGGTGATGCTAGTTAGAAAAGCCAAGGGCTCACCAAAGTCATTAAGATTAATCCTCTTGTAATCATGAATGTCTCTACAAAAGTTTGTGCCATTCCACTTAGTAGATGTTGAGACATTTTCCAGGATAAGTGAAACCTTTGACCTGGTGGTGGCACTATAGAAAATGTTGGGGGATCAACAAAGCCAACAGGATTCCTCCTCTGGGGACAATGAATGTCTGCAACTGTTTCTGTGTTTGTGTGTGACATGCTGCTTCGTCTACTTTCTCTGCAGGACAGACAAGCTCGACCCATGGTGCCAGGCCCGGAGCAAGACTCTGTGTGTGGCTGTGTGTGAGTGTTTGAGTATGCGTGTGTGTGAGTGCCTGTAAGTGTGTTTTTTTTTTTTGACTGCTGTGTGCCTTTGAGTGAGTGAACGTCTTGCTGTGTGAGTGCGAGGCTCGTGTAAGGATGAGGCCCTTCATTCTGCTGTGTCTCCTGATGGCCGTGGAGGCAGGAGCCTCGAGGTTCGTCCGCGACTCCCAGGGCGGCTCCGAAGCGTCAGAACCCTCCAAGAACAACTCCTCCGTCCCGCTCCCACCCATACAGCCGGCCCGGCCTCGGGGCTCCTTCCCCCCCATGTGCATAAATCCCACGGAGATCAAGTACGCCTTCAAGTATGTGAACACCATCGTGTCCTGTCTGATCTTTGTGGTGGGGATCATCGGCAACTCAACCCTGCTCAGGATCATATATAAGAACAAGTGCATGAGGAATGGACCCAATGTCCTGATTGGCAGTCTGGCACTGGGGGATCTGCTTTATATCATCATCGCCATCCCCATCAATGTGTTTAAGGTGACCACATTCATCTTTTGTGTCTGTCTGTCTCTATTTGTTTACTACGACTACTTTACTTCACTTCAACAATTCAACCATACAACATAACTTCAAATTAATTCCATTTATTACCCATCCGTAGGTCTGTGTCTAATTTAGTAGGACATTAATCTAAAGCGATTTCCCTGCACTGCAGTTTCCAAGTTATGAGTGAGCTGTTTTCAACGCCTTTCTTGGCACATCCTGTGGTTAGCTGTGGTTTATTTACGAGTTAATTTCTGCGGTCTGAGTCTCTACATTCGGTGTCTTTTGTGTGGTTTTCTTCATTTCCTTTTCAGACTTTTCCACCTAGACTACAAGAGATAATCCAAACTAAAAAACTCAATAAAAGCAGACGTGAGCCAAACATTAGGGGCGACATGCAGTCGGTGCCAAACGCTCAAGTCATGCTATAACCACAGAAAACAATACGTAAAACTTGTTCTATTTTCCAAATCTGATCGGATACACTTGAAATAAGCTGGAATGCTGTGCTGCATTTTATCCAGGCACATCTGAGTAAGAGTCTCTGATTCTTTTTTTTTTTTTTTTTTACTTTTTTGCCTGAAAAGTTCTGCATTTCAGGTATTTGTGCGACAAACTGTAATGTAAACATGATGAGTGTAAAAAAGAATTAATGAGAAACAGAATCTGCTGAATTGAACAGGCATGGGTTTGAAAACACAACGTAGCATTATAGTGACACAGTTAGTGGCTGACAAATACAAAGCACTCCACAATAATCAAATTTGCATCTAGATTTGTTGTTGAAGCCACGATCCTGATGCCGAACTGATTTTATAACCCCAGGGGAGAAGGACTTAAGCAGTGAGGAGGAGGAACAGTCTTATTGCATTTGGCTTTAGCAGTAATAGTAATGGAAGACACAAGGAAGACAGGACCCCTACATGAATCTCAAAGCTATCTGTCCATGTGTTTACAAAGGTGACACTTCTCTCATAACAAATGTCTCTTCTCTCTGTTTGCTTCCACTGTTTTTCTTACACAGCTATTAGCCGAGGACTGGCCATTCGGGGTGTATGTCTGTAAGCTGATGCCGTTCATCCAGAAAGCTTCAGTGGGAATCACCGTCCTCAGCCTGTGTGCCCTCAGTATTGACCGGTAGGTAGACATCAACTCTACACCCACACACACACACACACACACACATTCGCTCTAAAAGTATTTAACTAAAATATATGTGTGTGCTGTTTGTGTAGCTACCATGCCGTGACGTCGTGGAGCAGGGTGAAGGGGATGGGGATCCCACTGTGGAAGGCTGTGGAAGTCACTTTGATCTGGCTGGTTGCTGTGCTGCTCGCAGTCCCTGAGGCGCTGGCATTTGACATGTTGGAGATGCCATACAGAGGCAACAAGCTGCGCGTGTGTCTGCTGCATCCAGAGCAGACCAGCAGCTTTATGAAGGTAGGCACTTGATTAGACTTGAAACCTGTTAGCAGTGAAGTATTTACATTCTTTAGTTAGAATAAAGGTATTGCTTAAGTGGTTATGAAACAATTTAATACAGATGTCTCTATATGACCTATATACACCTACTAACACGACTAGATAGATAGATACTTTATTTATCCCAAGGGAAATTCAAGACTATCAACAAGAAGAATGGCTATTTCTATATAGTTATTCTTAATTTCTGTCACCAGATTGGATTTGGACCGATTCTCCTTAATCAGATGAAACAAGGCGGTGGAAACACTACCCCTTATATTCACAGGGGCCACCAAAATCAACACAAAATGAATGTTTTTTTTTGCTGCTTTAAGTAAAAGTAACAGTACAATGTAAAAACATTCAAAGTCACTCATTTAAAATCTTAATGAAAGCTACAAAAGTATTATAAAGCAAAAAGATCTTCAACAGTATCAAGTATCAAAAGACAAACTTATTATGCAACACAATGGCCTCCCTATTAGGCTTCAACCTCTGGGCAATGTCTGTACAAATATTCATGGCAATCCATACAGCACAGCAGTTTCAGTCTGGAGCAATGTGCTGGTCTGACGCACATTGTTACAGTCACGCTGCTGGCGTGGCTAAAAAATGACTCCTGACACCTGCTGGGCTCATAATTCACACAGAAATATGTGAGTATAACGACTAACTGAATTACTTTAACAACATAATAAACTCAAACATCTGGAAACATTTATCTTCTTTTCACTGAAATATGAGTAGAATAACTTAAACTTGGCATAGATTATAGTAATTTATGAATTCAAAATGTTTGATGGGGATTGCATGTTAGGTTATTAGTTTCCCACAGGCGCATACTCCAAAGATCCTGCACACAGATTTAGATCTCACAGTAAGGTTAAGTTAGAAAGATTTGGTTCATCTTGCACCTGATATTGCTTTCAAGTACAAATGTCAACACAGTGCACTTCAAAGCGCATTCACAATACGCACACAATACAATAAGTGTGTTTCTGTAATCAGGATCTCTTTTTCTCTTTTTCAAGCTCTGCCAACAAGTAATTAGTGATTCCAAAACATGTAATACAATACATAAACACTGCATGCAAATCATCTGAACGTGACTGTTTCTCATATTATTCACAGTTGCAAAGACATTTCCAGTATGTGAATACATCCAGTTTATTTAAACCAGTAGGAGTTGCAGGACACAGTGGGAATAAAGCATAAAGCTGCAGTGTCCTTTAATGTATGACCTGTCCTTTTAAATCAGTGAATTGAGATTTGAGCTTGATGTCATTACGAAATGATACAATAATTCAGTCTGAGCTGTTGGACTACTTTGAGAAGAACCGGAATTTTAACCTAATTGCGGAAATGTCCTTAATTCACCCAAAACTAAGTTTTCCACAACGACAAACAAGCACTACAAAAAGAAGAATTTCTGCCAAACCAACATAAGTCTGAACTTAATTTAACATATTTACAACACATTTCAAATTCTGGACGTGCGCCAACATCTCTCTATATTCAATCCAGATCCACCGCACAATACATCATGCCTTAACTGAAATCATATTTCGTTTGAAAAGGTAGTGTGGCATTAAAACAAAAAAACTAAGACATTTCGCAGGGGTCTGACACAGGTTTTTGCTTTTTTGCCTTTTTGGTTCTGGCATTTATCAGTCGAATGAAAATATGTTATTAAATCATTCTTGAAACAAATAAGTAATGGTTTACCTTCTGTCTTATTATAAAAATAGAAGAGTGACTTTGTTTTGTTATATTAAAATTAAAGGTTGTCTTAGTTGAACTACAGGAAGTCATAGTTCTATTCAATCCTAAATTCTGAACTAAAACACTTTAGAGTTACAGTTACAGAAAATACACGGCATATTATATTTTTGGTAAAACGTATGTTTACAGGATAAACTCTATGGATGCCTCTGTAAGTAACACTGTATTTGTTGGGATCTGGGCTTTTTTTCCCAGTTCTACCAGGATGTGAAAGACTGGTGGCTGTTTGGCTTCTATTTCTGCCTCCCACTGGCCTGCACAGGAATCTTCTACACACTCATGTCCTGTGAGATGCTCAGCCGCAAAAAAGGCATGCGCATCGCACTCAACGACCACATGAAACAGGTATACAGGCAAATGACTGCCGCACACATTCAGAACCACTGTAACCAAAAGACTTGGAAAGCCGGAGAAACTCAGCAGCATCAATATTTGTCTTTGTGTGTGTGTGTAGCGGAGGGAAGTCGCAAAGACGGTGTTCTGCCTCGTGTTGATTTTTGCTCTCTGCTGGCTGCCCCTTCATCTCAGCCGTATTCTGAAGAAAACAATCTATGACCAAAATGACCCCAACCGCTGTGAACTGCTCAGGTAGGCACGCAGATACAGAAAGCGACGCAAGTGCACTGTAGACTTTCTTCAGAACCCATTGTTTTCTGCTGTGTGACTTCCTGTCTTTACTGTGAACGATGTCCTTTTCATGCCAGCTTCCTGTTAGTGATGGATTACATCGGCATCAACATGGCCTCCTTAAACTCCTGCATTAACCCGATTGCCCTCTACTTTGTCAGCCAGAAGTTTAAAAACTGCTTCCAGGTAAGAGGGCACACAAAAGGCAATAAATGTGGTATTATTAGAAAATACAGCAAAGCAAATAACTGCATATGTGTGTGTGTGTGTGTGTGTGTGTTCTTGTCTCGTAGTCCTGCCTGTGCTGCTGGTGCTACAGAACGTCTCCCCTGGATGAACGAGGCTCAGGAGGACGCTGGAAGGGCTCTTGCCACGGGAACGGACTAGACCGCTCGAGCTCCCGCTCCAGTCAGAAATACACAAGCTCTTCATAAACACATCACAGCCGCCTCTGCCACACCCATGTTCCCATTAGCTCCCATCGTGGAGAAACAGCGATGTCACTGCCAACAGACCGGGAAAGGGAAAAATGGAGCGAGGTAGAAGGTAGAGGCAGAAGAACTGCGATAAAAAGGATCGACCCAAACTGATGATGAAACAGGACTGTACCTGTTCAGGCTGTAATACTAACGGCAAAAACTATGATGCAGGGCAAAAATCATCATCATACATCATGCAAAAATCTGTTCATACTCCAACACTGAGGCTTGTGTAGAGGACTAAAAGTCTCTCAGTGGACCAACATGGTAAATACATTTATAAAAAAAATGTTTATTAACCACATGTAAATTTATGTACAGGATTATCTACATGCAGATTGCAGATGTATGATTATATCTAGCCTTAGTGCTTCATGTATGAATAACAGCACTGATGAGTACTATCTGTTGAAGCTTTGATACCTCACGGGGGGAAACATAGACGGAAACTGTGACCCTGAGTTATTTTCCAAAAAGCCTCAAAGGTTGCGAGTCTTTTTTTTGCAAAACTGCACACGGGTGCTCCTGCATACAAACGCAATCAGTAGCTGATTATCTGACAATCCATGCATGTTGTCATTGAGCTCCTCAACGGCCATGTGCCCTGGTGACATCATACCAGAGTAAAATGGGCCCCACTGTGTGTCATGTGGAGAGTTGAACATCGGAAATCATCGCTGCTTTAAGTCATGTGGAGGGCAGCTGTTGTTCAAGAACGCTGACAAATACCAGATGATTCCCATCATGCTATGCAGAAGAGGTCATTATTAGACCTGTTATTATTGCATTATTTTTAAGTGGTCTCTGTTTCCACTGTGTATAAAGTCTTATCCTGTCTCTTACAATGTAGCTTTTATTTTTCTAAGAAAATATCAAACGTGAAGCTCGTTTAATCGTCCAACATGAGGTGTTCATTTATGATTTCCAAATATTTTACCTCCGTCAGTGAGTGGTCATGTAACGTAGATGTTCCTGTGGCTGGAAATTACTCTCAGAATTACTTCTAAGAGCTGCTTGAGGAATACATGTTTTAGGATTGACCAATTTAAAGCTTTAGGAAGGAAAAAGAAATCCTGTACACCTGGATGCTTTTTTAAGAAGTGAATGTTTTTACGTAATGATCATAGGAATTATTAAGATATATTAGTTGTTTCCATTAAATATAATCCAGGTAAAATTCAAGATCTCTAAATCATTTAACATATTTAACCATCATTTGTGAAGGAGAGATACAAGCTAAAGAAGGATCCTGTAATGATCTATTTCTCATTTTGTATGTGGGGTGCAACACAGCGAGAGAAATTTGTTCCTAATATTTTATGATGACTTCAGTTAGGACGTCTGTGGCTAGAGCTAGCTGCAAGTACCCAATAGTCATACACTTGTGATGAATCTTGTGATGCCAACACATCAAGGAAAAAAAAACACAATTTCTGGCTCTTTAAAAAGTCTGACATAAGGACAAACTGCAGGTTGATAGTAAGTCTCTTAACCTTAACTTCCCCAGGCAGGATACATGGATTGTGTGTTATAGATGACCTGGACGAATCAAAGTTTTCAACACTGGCAGTAGTGAGAGCATATACTGATAACACAAGCACAAGATGAACCCATTTTATCCGGTTGTTTTGTTGTGTCTCAGTACATCGTGACTAAGATTGGAAACCTGGAAAGTTTTCTACATCAAACTAATAAGCAAAAGTGTCCTCTTTCAAAACCAAATTTGCGCTGACGAACCAGACAAGGTGTTTGTTCACACTGAAGCCTTTTAAAGTAGACTTGATTGATGTAATATAATATATAAATTTTTCCTTTGCCACTGTATTTGCAACAGCACTCAGATCATCTGATCATGCAGTACGTGACTCATTAACTCATCATATCTATTTATGCCATCTTCGCTGTGCTTTTAGTTACATCTAAAAGCGACTGTGTACTGGAAGGTCTGAGCAGCTTTGAGGCTGTCTTTATAGAGGGACCACCAAGCTAATACATGTAGAAGTGATGCAAGGTTGAAGATGAAATGTAATGTGAATATCGGCCCTGGTGTTTTAAATTACATTTATACAGTACTTAATTGCTGAGGGTATGCAGTAATAAATATTATTTTATAGCATTTGTGTTTGAGTTATTTACTAAACAATTAAAAAGTTGGAATGGAGTCTCACGGTAACCTTAATGTTGCACAATATGTCTGCATGCATTAAAGGCTCCCTGTGGAGTTTTTGACCTCTGGCAGCGCTGTAGAGATGTTTTGTTTATTTCATGCACACACACGCATTCGCCGCTGACAAAATACACATTCCTACTCATGATTGCACACCAATGGTGGTGGAAATGCACCGAGATATGCAGACCAGACATGAAAGACTGCTTGTAAGTTGCTGGGGAAAAGTCCAAATCCAGTAAATGAGAGCCAAAATCACTTACAGTATTGTCACACTCTATAATGGTCAGAGCATGGCACACACTGCTCTATGAAATAACAAAGATTCGTTCATAATGTGCACACTGATGAGAAACTTCTCCCCTTTTATAGTTTGAAGCGGTTTTACATCATGTCTTCTTTTCTGTTTGTGCTCCCCCTCCCCAGCTTAAGTGAACTCTTCTTGTGACACATTCTTACATTTTATCCCCATCTAAGGCACTGTGGCAGTTTACAACCCTCCTGCGAGCTATCTTCTCTGGCCTTTCTGGCTGTTACCGATTAGCAACCCTCTGCTAGTACTCCCACAGGTCCACTTAGTCCTTACTGCCCCACGAAGCAAACTACTTCTCAGAGGCGAACTTTGTTTATAGTTTTACTGACAGAAATGTTACATTTTCCTGCTCTGATGAACTGAACAGACACACACACACACACACACACACACACACACACACACACACACACACACACACACACTCAATGGACAATGGGGTGCAATCAGGCTGTGGTTCAAGAAACGGTTACATGGTACAATCAATCAAACTTTAAACAAACATGATTACATGTGCAGTAAATAATGGTTATGAGATTTTTCCTCGTATAATAACCGTCTCAGAAAATATCATGGTTTCACTGTATCCAGTATTAAATCATTATTGTTATCAGTTACAATAACCCTTAGAGGAATGAAAATAGAAGTTTTTTTTTTTTGGTTGAACCAACACTTTATAATATTAATTATTTAAAATAACACAAGTATGGTAGAATTCAATATACTTTTTAATCCCACTAACACTGTAGAATTAAAAGGCGTAAATAGACAAATGTACAGGGTATGATAAACATCAATCAATTTTCATACCATAGTAGTCTGCTGCAGCCCTAATCAGACATGTGCAGGGAAGATATTAAAACATGATTATATTTGTAGTATGTTTACTTTCCCTCACAACGTAAACATGGATGCTGAATTGAAATCTGCTTTGCAAATGTTTCATGAGGAATGAAATGCATTCAGCACATTTGTTAGAGCTCACTGTTGTTGAGTAACACCAACTGTTTTTGTTTACAAGAAAGGACCACAGGGCACATTTAAGTAAGTTCATTTTAACTGTCTCTTCGATGTTTAATGTAATGTGCTTTCATCTCCTTTACACTGTGTGCACAATTATTAGGCAAGTGAGTATTTTGGCCATATCATAATTTTAATGATTAGTGATGAGTGAGGGTGTAGCCTAAGGAGATCAACACTCTATATCAAGGTGTGCATAATTATTAGACAGCTTCTCTTCCTCAGGCAAAATGGGCCAAAAAAGAGATTTAACGGACTCTGAAAAGTCAAAAATTGTAAAAAGTCTTTCAGAGGGATGCAGTACTCTTGAAATTGCTAAGATATTGGGGTGGGACCAAAGAACCATCAAACGTTTTGTTGCAAATAGCCAACAGGGTCGCAAGAAACGTATTGAGAAAAAAAGACGCAAATCAACTGCCAAAGATTTGAGAAGAATCAAACGTGAAGCTACCAGGAACCCATTATCCTCCAGTGCTGCCATATTCTAGAACTGCAACCTACCCGGAGTGCCCAGAAGTACAAGGTGTTCAGTGTTTAGAGACACACACAAGTTGAAACGTCAAGACTGGGCCAAGAAATATCTGAAGAGAGATTTTTCAAAGGTTTTATGGACTGATGAGATGAGAGTGACTCTTGATGGACCAGATGGATGGGCCCGTGGCTGGATCAGTAACAGACACAGAGCTCCACTTCGACTCAGACGCCAGCAAGGTGGAGGTGGGGTACTGGTATCGGCTGGTATTATTAAAGATGAGCTAGTTGGACCTTTTCGGGTTGAAGATGGCCTCAAAATCAACTCCCAAACCTACTGCCAGTTTTTAGAAGACACTTTCTTCAAGCAGTGGTACAGGAAAAAGTCTGCATCTTTCAAGAAGACCATGATTTTTATGCAGGACAATGCTCCATCACATGCATCAAAGTACTCCACTGCATGGCTAGCCAGTAAAGGCCTTAAAGATGAAAAAATAATGACATGGCCCCCTTCCTCACCTGACCTAAACCCTATTGAGAACCTGTGGGCCGTGCTTAAACGGGAGGTTTACAGTAAAGGAAAACAGTACACCTCTCTGAACAGTGTCTGGGAGGCTGTGGTTGCTGCTGCACAAAAAGTTGATCGTCAACAGATCAAGAAACTGACAGACTCCATGAATGGAAGGCTTGTGACAGTTATTCAAAAGAAGGGTGGCTATATTGGTCACTGATTTATTTTTTTATTTATTTTTTGACATGTCAGAAATGTTTATTTGTAAATTTTGAGTTGTTTTATTATTCTCACTTTAACAGATGAAAATAAACAAGTGAGATGGGAAAATGTTTGTTTTTTCATTTAGTTGCATAATAATTCTGCACACTAATAGTTGCCTAATAATTATATATTCTCTTAAGAAATACAAAACCTCACTTTTACTTTCTTAAACATTCAGGTTTAGGTTCATTAACATTTTGGATTGACCGAGAGCACTGTAGTTGTTCAATAATAAAATTAATCCTCAAAAATACAACTTGCCTAATAATTGTGCACACAGTGTATAGTCCTTTATACTGAGGATAATACATTTTTTTTATGAATGCTCAAAAATCTCTTCTCTTCCCCTGTAAAATCAGAATACAGCTGTGGTATGAGAAACAGGTGAACTCTTGAAAGGAGGGGACAGAAACAATAATTAACATCATAATGTATTGACAGCCCTGTCATGGGTTAAGTACTAAGTTATGGGTGTCATGTCTTTCATTTTGTGAGTAAAGGTTACATTTCAGAGAAAGACTGTCAAAAGAAAACACGGAAAATGTTCAGCAATTGACCTCCAAGCCTTTTCCTGGTTTGAAATTATTGCTTTGGACAACTAGACATTAGGCGCCAGGGGCCAGTTCCAAGAAGCAGGTTTACAGAGATAACTGCTGATTAAATCTCAGAAAAGATCTTTGAGATCAGTGCCTGTTACTGATTTGAAGAAGTTCAATTTTTTTCACTTAGTAAAGCCGTTTCTTGGAATCAGCCACAAATTCCACAAGGCGGGGAACCTCATTTATTAGCGGTTACTTTATTTTCTTATTTTGCCTCAGAGTAATTCATAAAAGTTTGCTTCTGAGGTCCAATGTCTATGTTACAGAGAAAACTATTTAGAAATACTGGAGAAAAGGACTATTGGGGTTTTTCTTGATATGTCACAAACCATGCGTAACCGGCTGCAGTCGTAATCTAGTTAAACCCTGAGGTCAAAGACATACACTGCTGCATTAATAAACCTCAGTGTAGGATAAACAAAAATCTAAAATAATTACATGAAATTAAATTATTAAAGCAACAATTGTATGACTGACAATTCCAAAAGTACTGTAATATAAATATTTGAAAGAGGAGGAAAAAAAACAAAGAAAAGCTTGTTGATATTAATTCAGTTTGGAGGAATTTCTCTTCAAACTGGGGAACCAAACATGTACTTAAGTGGCATCCTAATGTGTTTCAAATAAAACTTGGCTGAGAGTTTATACCACATGAATAAATAAATTCTGAGCTTCACGACAGTGTGACATTTAGAACAAAACCACATCAAGCATGGGGCAAAACACCCAAAATTACTGTTTTCTAAGACAATCATGTATTCACAGCAGTCTCCCCGTGTCGCTGTGCATAAATAATTTTCTGCACAAACAACAGTTTAAGTCTTGTACCCACACATTTGGTTATAATTAAATAATTAAAAGTACATACAAAGTAAAGATGAATCCATTTCTTTAATTATAAATAAAAGGCACCCTTATTCAGTACGCTACACTTGGGTTTTTTGGTATAGCCTCTAAACTCTTTCTGTTTTGACCAATAACTTATGGTGGCTGGTGACAGCTAATGCTAATACCCCCATAAAACCACAGCATGGTGTTTATACTGTATAATTTCAGTACAAACTATTTATAACATGTTAGTGGGTGAGCTTTAGAGGGGCCGGTTTCCTATGAACAAAGCCAGTTTTCCCTGTGCTAGCTAAGCTTGATATTTACCCTTACATACATGAGTGGTATCGATCTGATTATCTATCTGCAAGAAAGCAAATATTGTTCTAAAATGTCAAACTATTGATTTAAAAAAGGAAACTGATTGTATCATAAGAAAAAAAGACAAAATATTATTATATTCTTGTATTATTTAATAGATCAGATTCCCCATACTGGCACATAAAGTTAGTCAAATATGAGTCATAGTTGCTGTTTTTCCTCAAATTACGTTCCGCACCCACAGACGCAGCAATGACTGAACATGTGACTGACAGAGGGATATGATTAACCTCAAATAACTTTAACCTCATTATTTACACTTGTCTCCCCTCATTTTCCCTCTCTGTCTTCCTGGCACTGTATGAAGTCCCTCACACCACATTCCTCTGCTAATAAGGACATTCTAGTTTGGTCTAGTTTACACTTCTCCCTTCGTTCGTCAAACACAGCTTCAAAGGACAGATGAGAGCAATTTGGTGTTTTTTAGAAACTCATCACTTTAGGTTTGGACATCCTTCAAACAGTGTTACACGAGTAGTTATGAAAATAAATATTACAGCGAGTCCAAGGGCTGAGTGTTATTCATGTTAGAAGTTACACAGCTTAAATTGCTTTCCAAAAATTCAGGAAGGATGAACACAGGACTACTAGATATTTATCATACACATTTATGATAAATTATACATTGACTGCAGCATAATACAAAAACGAAAACTGTACAAATGTTTGAATGTGACACAAGAAACCTATTATTATTATTATATAGGAGACTTACTCTCAAAGTAGACATATAAAAAGGAACAAATTAGGGTAATGTTTTTACATTTTGTTTGTAGAATCTGTATCCGACAGCTTTACAGGCACTGCTCTTCATTCCATGGGTTGCTCCTGCCGCTCTTTGAACTCGTTAACTCTTGCCTGGAACAAAATGAAAGAACGTAGTCAGAAGTGGAGCTGAGACAGTGTGAGGAGTGGTAAATTGAATTAATGCTGGCTGACTTAACTTATACCATGGGACTAATACACAGAGCTAACCAGACAACCTGGGGTTTCTTCCTGTATCCCACATGTATGAATGATAATATTATTCCATGTGAAGAAATTAAAGGTTTACTCTCTGCTTGCCTTCCTCAGTTGGGAGGTCAGAGCACCGAGTCAGCCTCTGAACAGGCAGAGACAAGGACCCTTCAAAGAGCAGACGTAGCTGACAGCTGACACAGGAGGATGAGTGATGATCTCTACTCAGTGCACAATCCTTTCATACCGTGAAACAATCAGCTGTCATCCAGTTTTAGTGGTGAGTCAACAGAAAGAGTGAGCTTCTGAATTATCTGGAAACTGGCCAAATTTAGGTTGAACTGTGAATCCTAACACTGAGACACATTTACGTATGTGCAAACCACTGCTGGACAAGAGGCTGGTGATCAATGTATATAAAGGAACACATGCACTTACCTGAAAGGTGTTCAGAACATGTTTGCAAACATCACTGAGCTCATTCAGGCCCCTCCGCAGTGGCTCTGTGGCTGGAAGACCCCCTGAAACAGACAGTAAACGCCTCTGAAGTAACGAACAGTCATAACCAAAACAACCACGTGCAATGCTCGCACTTTGTGGATCCAAGCCCCTGAAGTTCAAATGAACCCTTGTATTTTTACATGCACTGATGATGTAGGCAGCCATCATGAGGGCTGCCCGAGTTACAAGAGAAATCAAAGAACTAAGCATGAGGGAGATGCGGTTCAGGGGCCAGATTCACCTGATAGTCGAGCTGCAATTTATAATTTTGTCTCTAATCAAGACAAATGGCATATTTCTTACCCATGCATGAGCATTCAAGAGTCCTGTGGGAGCTTTAGATGTATCTACAGTTTGCAATTGACAATCATTTTTGAAACGTGACAGTAATCGCAATCCGTGTGCAAGCACTGGTTTGCAAATTACTTTTAAGGAAAGGGATCAGACTTCATCGATCAAGTACTCATCCAAAGTCCAAATGCAGTATGTTAGCAAAGATAGAAAATATAAATATTAAGACATTATGGTGGCCTCAAGGTTAGAGAAGCAAATTTGTGACCACGAGGGCGTCGGCACCATCCGCGGCAGGATAAATCTGGGTGGGAAAAGTGAAAAAGCAGCACTCTCCCTTCTCTCATAATAACACCACTGAGGTGCCCTTAAGCAAGGCCCTGGACCCAAACTGCTCCAGTGGAGCTGCTCAGTGTCCAGTAGATCAGATTGTGGTTTTACTGAGCAGCTTCCAGGTGTGAATGTGTGCAAATCTGATTAGGTTGTTCCTGCAAAAACAGAGGCTTCCTCTCTGTGAACTTCCCTGAATAAATAATAGGGTGTGGGGGGGGCAGCTGATTACTGCAGATGTAACAGCAGGTAATGAAAGAATAACGTACCTCAAACTACACTGACCACAACTGCACACAAGAGCAAAGAGCTACCACTGAATACTTGAATACTTTATTGAATGCTGACTGAACTAAGCACTATTTTTAAACATCACTCTGAAGTATTTTGTGGTTATGGTCTAATTGATTGATCAAAAAATGCACAGTGAAAACAAATGAATGAAAAGAATTGTTAGTTGCAGTCCTGTCCCTCTTCTCCCAACTGACGTGGATGACTTCTACCCACACATTTTATTGTGGTCATGGTGGAAAAATATAATGACAGAATAAGTACATAAATATCTGAATATGTGAAAGTGCAGTGGAAACTACGTTTTTTTTTTCTGGTGCCTGGAAGGTAATTGTGTCTTTCTGATGAAGCCATGAGGAAAGATCTCCCAGGCATCGCAAATCTTAGTTCAACAACAAAAACAAGTTGTTTTCTTGGTCCAGCAGAGTCCTTTCATGTGATGGGGCTGCTGTTATCTGTAGTCACTTTGTGCAAAGCTGATGACAGATGATTTTTTGTAACAAGGCAAGTGGCTATAGCTCACTGTGGACAAGAACAAGAGGGGGGTGTATGTGCATGTGTTACTTAAGGTCAGTTCTTGTTCGGGTTGAGTGGTCAAAGTGAATGCACAAGCCTCCAATCAAAATATTTACTCTGCAACACAAAAAGCTTTACTCTCTCGCTGTCCTACGCACGTATGCACATGTTAAACTAACCTGGATTGTAAGAAGAAAAAGCAGTGAAGTGATAGGGGCTTTAAGGAGTGTCTCTCACCTCTCGTCTGAATGCGAAAGTTGATCTTGCTCTCTGACGGATGGGTGATGGTGTAGCCACAAAAGTCCGTATCCACACTGACGGAAAACAGGAAAGTGAGAGCGAGATTTGTGATTACAATCAATGTTTTGCTTAAAGTGGGTGGAAGTGCGTTAGTGTTATTACATTTTTTCCACTATCAACTCGTCCCAGTTGACCTAATCTCTGAGAGCAAAAACACTTACGAATCACATACGCACTTGAGAGGTGCTTTTTGATATCATTATTATAAATAGTCAAAATTATGTCTGAGAGTTGTAAGGGGGGAAAAAGGTCCCCTTCCAGCTGGAGGCATATCACACAAATTAAGGATCAGTCAAACTCTTTGTACTTCAAACACGTCATGTGAGAGTGGGGGGGGATAAATGTTTTTTAATAAAAAAAAGAAGAAAGATCAAACCCCTGACCACAACATGCTGAATTTAAAGGATCAGTGTGAAGGATTAAGTGGCATTTAGTGGTGAAGGTTCAGACTGTGAAACTTTTGCGATTGCAATATGATTAAGTCTAGAGAACAAAATGTGTAGGCCAGTGCATCTCTGCAGCACTTCATTATAAAGCTGTTTTGTGACACATTTTATCAAAAAATGTGCAGCTTCTACGGGTTTGACATGGCACTTGGCCATATTGCAATTTCGATAATATTGCGATTAATTGTGCAGCCCCACTGTGAAATGTGTAGGAGAAGCTATGGAAGCTGGGAAACACGCCAGCGCTGGGATTGTCCATTCTGGGCTACTGTAGAAACATAGTGGTTCAACAAGGCGGACACCATGGAAACCGACCCATCAACGAGAACACGATGATTCCTATATTCAGGTGAAACACTAATGAAAAAATACCCATGAAATATTATATATAATTTCCATTTGTTGCACACTGGACCTTTAAAGCAGCAGTGTGTTAGAAGAAAAAAAAAAAAACACTCACGTCTTCATAATCATATATCTGAGGGAGTTGCCCAGTGTATGGTCTTCATCATGCAGCACAAATGTCACACAGCCCTCATCAGCCCCATCAGCCTGGACCTAAAACACACCAGAAATACTTGATAAAACATCAAACAACAACTCTAAACAGAAACATTACCCAACGCCCTCCTTGGAGATTAGTGAGTGGGAGAATCAGTGGGAACTATTACACATTGCCAATACATCCAATACTTATTATCTCACAGATGCACATTGACATGGATCAGCTTAACATATTGAACAACATAGTGAGAAACTGAGGGGGGGAAACACTCGGCTCTGTTTACATACTGCCACCCAGTGGAGAAAACTCAGAGCTATGGGCTGAGAAAGAGACAAACGTAAAGTAACTAAAGTGATTTACCTGTCAGGCAAACCACTCTTAATATGAGTCCACAGCTAAGGTTGCAATAAAGAAATCAGCCTTTAATGTAGTTTGAGTTTTTAACTTTGGGTTGTTTTCTCAATGTGAGCTCCTGTAGGCTGCCCACGTGAAGAGTTTACGGTCGAAATTATTATTAATCATTAGCTCATTTAACTTAATGTGTTCTTACAAACAGCTCGTTGAACAGTGGAAGATCACCTGCAGCTGTACACACTATCTAAAAGCAGGAGGCATATTCGCTTCTTACCATCTCCAGCACTGGTTTCTTCTCTCCTTCCCCGGCCATGCTTTCCTCTGTCAGTCAATGTGGAGGCGTGGGGGTTCAGCCCTCACCACTGTCTGGCAGGTAAGAGATAAGGCAAGAGCGATTAGCCCCAGAAAAACAGGTGTCTGTTTTTTTTTATTTTGTCTATATTGTGAAAAACATAAACTTTAACACCGTCTGTGTTTGACTGTGTGATTATACTGCAGCAAATACTGATATAAGATTCATAAATGTAACGATAAAGTATTTAAGGTGAGATATTGATCGGTTTATTTGGTTGTTTGTCTTTTGTTTGGCTCTTACGTCACGCTGCTACGGACCTTAACGTGTAGTTTATAGTGATAGTAATATAATGCACCGACCTGTTCTCATTAAGCCTTCATCCCTGCGCACATAAGTAGATTAAAAGTGAGAGTTGTCCATCGCCACAGCGCCTAAACAGCCTGTAAGACCTCGACAAGGGCTACAATAAACCCAACGCAGGCTGTCCCCATGACGTGACGGCAGGCATAAAAACATGTGACGACACACTGCATAACCGGAAGTTTGAAGAAAAAAAAATGTAGTTCATAACACGAATCTGTACAATTGAACATGAAGGTAAAGGAATGTAGTAGGAACTACATTACCCAGCGGGGAGCGGGGGGTTGTGAAATCGCTTCCGGTCTGAGTGATTTGCAAACCAGAAGTCACTCGAAAGGGATTAGCTAGCTTGCTAGCAGAGGAAATCTCTTTAGATGTTGGAATTTGCGCTAAACGAGCAACTGTGAACCGCGCGGACACATCGAGGTATTGATTAGGTTATCATATAACTTATTATGGGCTGTCCGCTGTGTTAGCTCCGTGGCTAGAGAGCGGCAAACTAACGCAACCAACCGCCGCTATTAGCCAGATAGCCTGTTGTTTTTAAATACGGATTTTATTTAACGACAATTTAATTTAATTTACTGAGTTTATTTACTTCCGTCTGTAACGTTACACACTATTTCACCACAACCTTCCTCCTCCTCCTCCTCCTCCTCCTCCCCTCTCTCTCTCTCTCTCTCTCTCTCTCTCTCTCTCTCTCCATCCTCCTCCTCTTCCTCCTCACTCCTCTCCTCTCTCTCTCTCTCTCCATCCTCTCTCCTCCTCCTCCTCCTCTTCCTCCTCCTCCTCCTCCCTCCTCCTCTCTCTCTCTCTCTCTCTCTCTCTCTCTCTCTCCTCCTCCTCCTCTTCCTCCTCCTCCTCCTCCTCCTCCTCTCTCCTCCTCTTCCTCCTCCTCCTCACTCCTCTCCTCTCTCTCTCCTCCTCTTCCTCCTCCTCCTCCTCCTCCTCCTCCTCTCCTCTCTCTCTCTCTCTCTCTCCATCCTCTCTCCTCCTCCTCTTCCTCCATCCTCCTCTCTCTCTCTCTCTCTCCATCCTCTCTCCTCTTCCTCCTCCTCCTCCTCCTCCTCTTCCTCCTCCTCCTCCTCTCTCTCTCTCTCCATCCTCCTCCTCCTCCTCCTCCTCACTCCTCTCCTCTCTCTCTCTCTCTCCATCCTCTCTCCTCCTCCTCCTCCTCTTCCTCCTCCTCCTCCTCCTCACTCCTCTCTCTCTCTCTCTCTCTCTCTCTCTCTCTCCTCCTCCTCCTCTTCCTCCTCCTCCTCCTCCTCCTCCTCTCTCCTCCTCTTCCTCCTCCTCCTCACTCCTCTCCTCTCTCTCTCCTCCTCTTCCTCCTCCTCCTCCTCCTCCTCCTCCTCTCTCTCTCTCTCTCTCTCTCTCTCTCCATCCTCTCTCCTCCTCCTCTTCCTCCATCCTCCTCTCTCTCTCTCTCTCTCCATCCTCTCTCCTCTTCCTCCTCCTCCTCCTCCTCCTCCTCTTCCTCCTCCTCCTCTCTCTCTCTCTCCATCCTCCTCCTCTTCCTCCTCACTCCTCTCCTCTCTCTCTCTCTCTCTCCATCCTCTCTTCCTCCTCCTCCTCCTCTTCCTCCTCCTCCTCCCTCTCTCTCTCTCTCTCTCTCCATCCTCTCTCCTCCTCCTCTTCCTCCTCCTCCTCCCTCTCTCTCTCTCTCTCTCTCCCATCCTCTCTCCTCCTCCTCCTCCTCCTCCTCTCTCTCTCTCTCCATCCTCTCTCCTCCTCCTCCTCCTCCTCCTCCTCCTCCTCCTCCTCACTCCTCTCCCCTCTCTCTCCTCTCTTCACAGCGAGTAGAGTCGGAGCTGAAAGCCGTTGCCATGGCAATCCTGTTTGCCGTGGTGGCTCGTGGGACCACCATCCTGGCGAAGCACGCGTGGTGTGGCGGCAACTTCCTGGAAGTCACCGAGCAGATTTTAGCCAAGATCCCGTCGGAGAATAACAAACTGACGTACAGCCACGGCAGGTAGGACTCCCACACGCGTCCTCACACCTGTGTGACGCTCCCATGTTGTTGTTAAGTTCAGATCCTGCTGTGTACAAGTGGTGGTGTTGTCAGATAAGTGTGTGGTGTAATAGAAAGTGCATCATGGCAAATAGGGCTGCGTGGTATATTATAAACACTGTATTGAGACTGTAATGTGATTAAAGATTAGTTCATCACACATTTTTAATTGAAAAGAAAAACCAAAACAAACGTGTTTTCTTAAATGTGGAGAACAAGATTTGTGGTCGGGGTATCTCTGCAGCACTACGATACTTAATAAAAGTATAATAATGCTGTTTTGTCACACATTTTACCTTTACATTAAAACAGTGCAGCTCTTGCGATGTGCATATTGACTCTTCAAATGCACTTGGCCACATTTCAATGCCAATAATGTTTTGATTGATGGTGCAGCCCTAGTGTAAAATGCCTCACATGTAGAGCAAATACTTGCAAATCACAGCAGTCACTAAGGTGCTGCACTTTATTTTTGCCAAGAGGAGTTGAAATAATAACAACTCCTATAACAACGAACAGTAAGTCCTCTGACGTCGTGTTTTTATTCACCACTCAAGGTCTTTTTCATGCGCATTCACACATTTGTGAAACCTTTATGTAGGGTTACAGCTGCGTTCACTGGCTTCCTTTTAAACCCTTACCTAATCAGTGTTTGCATTTCTGTAGTATCAGATAATTGTGAAGAGTGGGGAATAATCTGATTATACAGTGTATGTAAAACCAGTAAACCAGTAATTAGCCATGGGTTAGTAATGTCTACAAGATCAAAGCAAATTAAAGATGTAATTTGTATGCTCAGATCCAGTGTGGACTGTCAGGTATTAGCACATGTGACAAGCTCAGATATCAGAAGCCCTGTTCAGACTAGCATTAAAGTGTCGAGAGTTTACAGAGGATCCACTGCAGGAAACCACAACCTCAAACAATCAGGTGGTATCACATGCTACAAAGGCACAAGGCAATGTGTCTACATGACCTGGTGTAATGTAGACTTACAGCCCATTTACTCTGTAGTTAATGTTTCCTTAGATATTTTACAGTGCATGTAGTGTTTGCTGTATAAAACAGTGTACTTTGACTGTTGACTAATTGTGTATTTTTTTCTCTTTTAGCTATCTCTTTCATTACATCTGTCATGACAGAATCATATACCTGTGTATCACTGATGACGTAAGTATATAATTGTCTTAAATGTTTGTGTATCTATTTGTTTAGGGTTGAATTTGTTTTTTCTTTACTGTTGTTTGACCTGCTTCTGCATTGCCAGATGGGGCATAATGCCTTTTATGTGAATACTGGGATATAAAGAAGAATTCAGAAGTAAAATTGAGTAACGCTGCCACTTTGAGAAACAGAAATAAAGTTGTTGTACTCACATATATCCAACCCATGTTTGGTTAGTAAGTAATATGTTATATATAATTAATGGGAATGTATTAACTCTAATGACGTTTTTGTACCAAAGGACTTTGAGAGGTCACGTGCATTCAGCTTCCTCAGTGAAGTCAAGAAGCGCTTCCAGACAACGTACGGGTCGCGAGCACAAACAGCCCTGCCTTACGCCATGAACAGTGAGTTCTCCTCAACACTGGCAGCTCAGATGGTGAGTGTGACAAGAGCCTAAGCATATTGAGCAACATTTTCTTGTGACATTTTTTTTTTTAATTTTTTTTTTTTACTTCTGTAGTCTATAAAAAACATTTAGTAATCACAAAATACACTCACTGCTTTCCCTTCTTTTCTCCTTACCTTTTCTCTGTCTTTGTTTCTATTTGTAGAAACACCACTCAGATCCACGAGGAACAGAACGTGTCACTGAGACTCAGATGCAAGTGGATGACCTAAAGGGCATTATGGTCCGCAATATAGGTGAGCTTCTCATGAGTTTCCCCATGACGCAGTGATGCTGAAAGGACCTCTTTTTGTTGTGGCACTATAAGACGATAATGGAATAAAATGTCCATTTAATTGAATCAGGAAAGGCTTGCTATGTGTAGGGATGGGAATTAATACCAATTTAATGATACCAATGCTGCTGTTGTTATCTAATTATCTCTTAATCTGAACACAGTGTAGAAACAGAGTAGAAACAAGGCTGTAGCCTGAGAGCTAACTGTAACAACAGTCTGTCTGTCATCAACTAAAATGAATGAAATTAAAGAATATTTGTTTTCATTTAAGGTTTCTTAGTCAAAGGAAAAAAATCTTGATTGATAAGCTCGGAGGCATACAATTCTGATGGATCAGACAATCTGGAACCGGTTCTTGATTCCCATTCCTAGTTTTGTGCGAGTGGCATTTATTTCCACTTTTAAATGAATGCAACATGTTTTTTTTTAAGTTGTGCCAATGATGCACTGGTCCTCATCTGTCATCAGGCCCAAAGCAAAGACAATTCCTGTCCCAAATGTCAGTCAGATTTCACCAAGCATTTGTTATGGATCTTTTTACACTGGACCTTTGTGTCTCCCAAATTAACTTTGGCTCTCTCTGTGTCTTTTTACAGACTTGGTAGCTCAGAGGGGAGAGAAGCTGGAGTTACTGATTGACAAGACAGAAAATCTGGTTGATTCAGTGAGTTTAGTTTTTCATCTGATGCACAATATTTTGCAGTATACAGATTTATATTTTGACAGTAATCTAGCAAGTAATTGTCACTGATGACTTTTTCTCCCTGCTCCTCTTCAGTCAGTCACATTTAAGACCACAAGTCGTAACCTGGCACGAGCCATGTGTATGAAGAACCTCAAGCTGACCGTTGTTATTGTGCTGGTGTGCCTGGTGAGTACGGACAGAAGGAGATGTTACAGTGTAATGGTTCTTTAGCCAGTCGTGCATTGTTACTTGGCTATATCTGCGCTGTAATTTACTCATTTCTTTCTTCTGTTTCCGTGCTCTTTTCAGGTGGTAATTTACATTATCGTTTCTGCTGCCTGTGGAGGCCTCAACTGGCATACTTGTGTCAAATAATGAGAGGAGAGTGGGTATAAAAGAGAAGGAGATAAAGGAGAAGAAAAAAGAAAAAGAAGGAGAAGCGCCTGTTCAACTCCTGCCTGCCAACGGATACAAAAGGAAACACAACTTTCCTTTCCTTTACTCCTCTAGCT